AGAGGTAAAGGGAGAGGGTTGGGTACGGAAGACAAAGAGTTAAACAAAGGTTGGGATATCGTCCGGTAATCGATACAAAGGCTTTCGATGAATGATACCTCCTTGAATAATGAAATTTCGCCGCTCTTAAGAATCTCTTTTACACGACGCCTTGGCACCTCTCTCCCTAGTAGCGTACTGTACGAAGCCACCGAGAGGTATAGAAGTGACATCTAAGCATTGCGAAATATAAGACTGCGTTTTCATTCAATGTGTGCCGTTGGTATATTCCGAAAAATATAAGACTGTCTCTCTTCATGGTCCATTTGTAGAAATGGTGTCATTCAACGTCGTTTTCTACACCATTAACTTTTATGACCTGTAACGATCAATTACGCGAATGGCATTTATCCCACCTTACCGGGTTCAACCCGAACGCACGCTGTATGATCACTTAGTTCCTACGTCATGTGGGATCGTAAAAAAATCAGATGTTTAATTCGCGGTATTGTGTGGGCAAAAAGATGACAATAATGGTCATCAGTCGCGGGCAACACTAAGGAGGTGAATCAATTCAAGTTAGCGTCACGTAGTAGCGTGTAAAATTAGACTGAAAAATTAAGTGCGGTTTAACAGTTGATCGTAACGTATGAAATTACAGTGCCCGTAGAAAAGATGAACACAAACGTTTCCGTTATTTAATTGCTAAAATATAGGATCTAGAACAAACCGAATAGCGATTGATGTAACTTGCCCGTTCCAGTAAGTCGAAAAAGCATTTTCGAGAACTAGAAACAGTCCATATGAACGACAGGCAGGGGTGTATTCATGAGAAATTAAAAGCAATATGAAAAACAAGTGCAGCACCAATTGAGATACACAGATCACAGGACTGGACCTCCGGCTGACCATTCTGCACTCTGAAACAAATAATCAATGAGTGACAATTAGTACGAGGACACCACTTTGGCAGCGATTACCTAGCTTATGATCAAACACCGAAATTCTACGTGGAAACCAGGATCGGAGATAAACGGTCAGCACAAGCCAGCATATCATGTGAGGATTTAAACTGAATGATACTACGGTTTTTCGAGATTGATAATGAAAGGAGGACATGGGTGAAGATGAGTAGACATGAGTCCAGCGATAGTGCTGTGACGATAACCAACACTGAAGCACAATAAACCAGTGCCCCCGATTTTGAATGGAATACGCGTTTGGGTTCCTTTAGTCTCTAGGTAAGCTCTCCCGCAAGGAATTCGCATAATTTCCGTACACACTCAGATGTGTCTCGTTAAATTCCCATAGCACATTCTTTCATGTTGGCCTAGAGGTCAGAAAAGCTCTACTTTCCACTTCTTACCTGAATTTCAAACTATCGAAATATACACACCCGCATTTAGAACACCATTTCAGGTGAACAATTTTCAATAACTCATAATCATGTCGTAACAGTTTATAAGGGGACAAACCTAGGGTTTTGGGAGGAGAATAAAATGTGGGGAATTGTTCACTTTGTGTACGCGCGTGCGTGTGTTGCATGCCGTATTCTCACATCTGTGCGTCCGGGGTTTTCAGTTACGTCATGTTGGTCGTGTGACCCAGTCCTGAGGCATCACATGCATAAACAAAGTGAGCGATTCACCACATTTCATTGTTCTCCTCCCAATCCCTAGGTTTCTTTTCCTCATATAAACTGCAACAACATGATTATGAGTTATTGAAAACAATTGTTCGCTTGATATTGTGTTCTTAATTACCTGAATTTCTCGTAGGATTTTAATGTTTATAAGTCAGACTTCCTCGTCTTGCAGTTTTTGGATTATGGGCTACTGCGTGCAGCCGATATTCATGAAACAATGGCATACAGTCAGTCTCCTGCTATATCGCACCCCTGAGAAGTCGCATTCTCCAATATCTTCCCGCTTTATCGAAAACCCAAACCAACCGTATGCTTAATAACGTAGTTTCTGACTATGCAATATCGCACCACTCGATATGTAGCAGTTCCTGATAAGTACTCACTTGGTCGTTGACCGATGTTCGGGACGACCATTGACCATCCACCCTGAAATGTTGCACTCAACCAATAGCGTTGCACCTAGTGTGACGCGTTTATGGCACTGTTCACTGATTGGTTAATCCTCGCGAGGAAGTCATAACAAGGTGATCGGAGACAATGTCATTTGACGTCAAATGTGCAAGCGTCTATCGATCAGAGCGAAGCAGAATGTGTTGGAAATGCTGAATCAGACAGGTGCAACTCAGGGATCCGTAGCTAAATCACTTGGAATTTCACGAAAAACTGTCTGCAATGTTGTATCCCGTCGAACGGCTATTGGGAAATCTTTGAACGCTAGAGCATCTGAGGAAAGATGCCACCTGCATGCATAACATGCATAACGAGTGTCTAGAAATTTTGGGGCACTAATTCCGGTTTCAGAGTATTACATATAAACACACATCACCTATTTGAAAGCAGTATATTTTTCTCAAGATTGTAATACGCAGGTGCATATTGGTACCCATTACAAATGGATTATATTGATTAAACGTAAGCAATTTTCGTATCCAGTGACCGAAGAGTACCGACGGCCAATCCCTTCAATTCATTCTCATTGGCCCACACATCCCATGACCGCCACCGCAACTAATATTTGGTGATGCGCAGCTCTGATATCACTGGGCTCAATAGCACACTTAGCCAGTTTGGACCTCATGTCGTTTCAAGGCTTATCACATCGAAAAAGCCGGCACTTGACCTATTCGACATGCTGAACATTGCAACAATCAACTTAGCGAATTAACTAATAATTCAGGTTAAATAGACAAGGAGAACTCAGTGACCATGGTTCGATGAAATAAGGAACGAGAAACCCATTCCTAAGGCAAAAATCGGAAGTGACAATGGACAGCCAAACTCACGAGAGGAGGTTCGACAAAGGATAGCCAATCTGATGCGTAAGTTGGTAACAGGCCCATTGTATGACATTTATACATTGCGAGAGCTATCATCACAAAGTTCCCCAGAACATAGACCAGCCGTTGGATTGGGGCTTGACTACCTTCGATCAAACTGAAAGCTAGAATAAACAGAAAAAATGTGGTACGCATCATATGAACTAGGTAATCAACAGCCCAAAAAATGAAACAACTGAACGAAACAAACAAAAAGGATCAGCTGAATCTCTAACTTGTTCAAGATGGACACTGTTTACTTAGTTTTTTGGCTTGAAGAATCACCGGTGACAGTAAGGCAGCAAATCTCAGTCAGAAAACACAAGAAACGCACTAATAACGAAAGGCGAACAACTGATCTCGCTGAACGCAAAGTACCAGTGTTCAATGAAGTCGAAATAGTGACGTGGGGTTTTCAACTACCCATTGTGACCGATAAGTCTGACTGATCCAATCCGACTAATTCCAACTGTTAGGATCTACATACCTTCATCTCACAATATGGACTCATCAACGTCATCATTAGGCGAAATGCCATGAAGCGAAAACCAACGACCGTTGTCAAACTCATATTATGCACAAAGATTAGCCCCTGACCTGCACCGTCTGACTATTCAGTGATAAGATTGTTGTTTTGACACAGGCCATTGTCCTACGTAGCTTGTTGGCTCATAGAGGTTCACAATCACATCGCATCACAGTGTGATCCTGATGATACGGACTATTGTTGCGGACATGAATGATTGCATTTCAAGGTCAATCTGGAGATATGTGAAAAATATGTGCGGATTCAACAAAATATTTGATGGTTCGACTACAAACACAAAGGTGTTACAACCTCAGCGTGGCTCTTCGAATCTTCCAACCGAATTCCAGCAATGAGGCAAAAATCTAGATAGTGCAAGTGAGGCAGTTTTTCCGTGATCATTTCGAGTGCGACAGCGGCTTTTTCAAATTTCAGAATTGCACACACACACACACACCACCACCACCACCAACAACAACAACAAAGTGTCGCGCTGAAAGCATAGATCACTCGGATTGTCACCAAGAATTCTACGTTTATGACACTATCCTTTGCAAGAGGTTTTGGGTATAGTTATATTACTTCTCACACGTGTTTGAGTTCTGATTGAGCCAAACAAACCACAGTACAACCATCTTTGAAACGAAGAAATCAGTTCCTGATATTCCTGTAGAAGAGAATGAGTCAATCGGAAGCAGCTGAAAACTTAATTGATGTTAACAAATTTAATATATATGTATATATTCTTCCTAGCGCTGACGCAAACCTGATGTCGAAAAATCATGCAGCTTGTTAAATTTTTCGATTCACATTTGACCTCGTTCGCTGTTCGCTTTAATGCATTTGTTCCATAAAACACGAAAGAAGTGTTGCTTCCTGCAAGAATCATTTCGCACAAAGTGAAATCAGAAACATACTGCATGCTCCGATATCTAATAACGCTATGCAACCTAACTTACGGTCAATTTGAGCCAAGCATATGCCACTCTACTGAAGTAAACTAATAAGAAGAGTTAGTTCGATGTAATTCTCTTGTCCTTACCGAAGACTGCAGATTGATATCGGACATTTATTATTCGATACAGTCGAAGCCCGTCCAAGAAGCGTGAAAAAATCTAGAAAAATTACTAATATCTTTTGTTTTAGATTATGCACCGACAAGGATATCCTGTTATCGGTGAAGGGTCGAATATAGGCTGCAGCAGTTACGCGGGTCCTGCTCTACTGTGCATATACTCGGTCACTGCGGGAAAAGGATGAAATGGAATGCCGAAAACCGACGTCTACGCCGCATTGCACGAGTTTGATCCAGTTCAGTTCTTACAACCATCAACCAT